ACCCGATGGCGAGCCCATCCAGTGGCTGCTTCAGCAGGCTGAGCCGTCGATTATCGCCGCCACCGGCACCGGAACTGTTCCCGCCTCTGCTATGGCCAACGCCGCTGCAGCCGGCGGCTCCGGTGGGTCTCTCTCGATGGGTCTGGTGATGAGCCATGACCTTGGCGGTGGTGGGATTGGTGGGTCGGGTAGTAACAGCAGACCCACTTGGCCCATAGTGGGCATTGGCGGTGCCGGAGAAGGCGAAGCCGGCGGAGGTGGGGGAGCTTCTAGCGCTCATCACCATAATTTACCGTCTGGGTTGTGGCCAAACGTTTTGGTTTGCAGCCACCGTCTAGCGGCGGCGGCGGCGGAGCTGGTGTATCCACCGCCGGGCTAATGAGTGAGAACGGCGGCAGCGGCGGCGGAGGATACAGAATTGGGTTTTCTGGGTTTGATTTTCCCGGTGTTTCGAACATCGGTCCGATGAGTTTTGCATCGATCTTAGGTTCTGGGTCTAACAACCAGATGCCAGGGCTGGAGCTTGGGCTGTCTCAAGATGGGAATGTCGGGGTCTTGAATCCACAGGCTTTTACACAGATTTATCATCAGATGGGTCATGCTAGGGTTCTTCACCACCACCACCACCATCACCAGCAACACCCACATGAAAATCAGCAAGAAACTTCTGAGAACGATGATGATTCTCAAGGTTCAGGGCGGCGTTGATGGGTTTTTTTTCTTCTTGGAAAAGAAAACGGAGCCGTAGAAAGGCTTCTGCAGTAGAAGCTTTGGTTTTGTTTGTGATTGAATTTGTTGTTGTACAACCATGGAGAGGACAAATGGTTATACAGAGAGAGTGATTACATTATATGATTGGATATGATTATGAAGTATCAAAACCTCCACCAGACACAGGTGAGCTGATGATCTGGTTTGATTCTTCATCTGTGAAGACATATGCTTAGTGAAGACACTGAGAGAGTGATGATCCCATTAGATTGGATTTCAGTTCCCAGTTATGGAAGAAGGGGTTACGTCTTCTCGGACAGAAGCTAAGCCCTTTTAAGGGTCTGCCTAGTGAACTCATTAACAGCATTTAGTAATTCTGAAACAGAGCATTCAGCTCCAATGGCGGTAAGTGATCTAAAGATCTATCGTTTGTGGGGCGCAATGCAACACAAACTGATGCTCTTCAACACTTTTCCGAATCGAGAAATTCGAGCTGTAGGGTTCGTTTGATTCTTGCCTCGGATTCATAAAGTTTCAATCTTTTCATTTTTCTGGTACTCTCTGTTCTTCTGCTGTAGTCTACGGCATTTCAAAAAGGTTCTCTCTTGCATAGCCCCGTAGCAAACCAAGGTTATGAATGTTGGCTAATGCAATGAGTTCCAAAGTCAACTCTATGTTCTAAAGTCAACCCTCTATTCCTCTGCTTGTCTATGGCATCTCTCTCTCTCTCTTTTTTTTTTTTCAAAGCCTAATACCAAAGAACGATTGGCTAATGCGACGAGTTCCAACAGTTTGGAGCCTATTTATGGTAAATGGGCCGTGTATGAAGAAGCCCATTTCAGCCCAAAAAACACAGAAGCCTGTTTCGCCTTTAAGCACTCATACAACGTGACGTTTCTCAACATGTAAAACGACACGCGTTCTTTAAGCGAGGATCGCTAAACGGTGTGATGTTCTATTGTCGAAGAGGGACTTGTTCAACCGGTTCCGAGACCGACCGCGACCAGTCACCTGCCCAAGGCAAAGAGAGAAGAAGCAATTGATTTTTCTTAGCTGCGAGGACAAGTTTCTGAATTTGAAGCAACACTGGTTCATGTGAAAGGACAAGCTGAAGATTCTTTTGCGAGGAGATTCGACCGAGGAAATGAATAGCAGAAACGTCGTCGTTTGCGACAACGGCACCGGCGTACAGTTCTCCTTGTTTCTCTTCATTTTCTTTCGCACCCTGGTCTATGTGAAGCTTTTTGCGCTTTTCGATCTCTCGGGAAATTTCAAATCCGATCTCTTTAGGGTTTGTTCGTTGTTCGGATCTGATCAAACATTCAGTTTCTTGATGGGTTTTGTTAAAAATCTAATTTTTGGTTTCTGGGTGTGCTTAAGATCCCGCTTTACAGAAATAGAGCTTATGATCGGAATTTAGCTCTGGAGATCTCTTAATGTGGTTGATGATTTTTATTTAATCAACAGAAATTTGCATAATTTACGTTTTCATTCTTGGGTGTGTGTAAGATCACGTTTCTATTGAAATTGATTCTTATGCTTGAAATTTTGCTCTGCGTATCTCTTAATATGGATGATCAACTGAATGTAGTCATCAGAAAGTTGCATAACTTGGAGTTTCTTGTGATGTTTTTTCTTTTCGTTTTTTATTTTGCTTTGGCACTTATGAATTGACTGTTTAAGTCTCTGATACGATGTTTTCTGCACTCTTAATGTGGATTTCAGTATGTTAAGTGTGGATTTGCCGGCGAGAATTTCCCTAC